GCAGTACAGTACTAGACAATACAAATGGCCTCAGCATCCAGACTTTGGAAACAGCAGAAAAATGAATCACAAGTTTCCACTCCCAAATAGGACTCAGTGATCCATGCTGAAAAATGCATGAATGTACTTCAGGTGAGGACAAGAGGGCTTGGCAGGGATGCTCCCCCACAGGTGAATAACCTGCCAGCGCTCACACTTTAGGCAGGACATAATGAATGGGCAATCTGACACATTCCCACAGCTTGCTGAATCATACTCTAGCACTGGTTATTTTCTTGGCTAAAGAAGTAAAAAAAGTTTGAGGTTACCCCAGGGTTATGGGTTAAGAGGAGTGGGGAGTGGGACTAGCTGGTAGCTCTTTCAAAAGTGCCAGCACTGGCCTCTTTCTGTGCTATAAGATTCTATAATTCTAGGTTAAAATTAGGGAGGAGAAAACAAGAACGCTGACGTAATTTTTTTAAAACAGTACCATTTAGGGGGCAGTCCCAATGGTGTAGTGGACAGAGCTGCAGCTTTCAGACCAACAGTTGGCTGATTTGAATGCAGGTCCCACTGAGTTTGCTGGTCTCAGCCAGGGAGAAGGCTACACAAGGAGCTTCATTGGCCCCACCTTCCCTTGAACAGGTGCCAGTGGGGAGGGAATTAGAAAAAAAATTGGACTCAATTTTCAAAAAGTAAATAAATAACTTTTTCTAATTAGTTTTATAAACCCTCTTACAACCTGTGGAGTCCTGTAGCTCAGCAGTTAGAGCACATGCCTCCTGTCTTCGAGATGACTCAAAGTGCTTCACAGAATATACTGTAAAGTGAATTGACTGTACATTTTGTGGGCGATACACGGCAGCCAATTGCGACAGCAGTGTCACACAAATAGTCGTGGATTGAGTGACCAATTTATTATTATTAACCCCGGAAAAGCGATCCGCCAATCGCTAACAACCGGGTTCCTACTTACTGCTAGGTAAATAGATGTGTGTGGAGTAAGGAAACTTGAACAACATTTCGCCCTTGCCGGAAATAGGACCCAGGCCTCTCGCTTGTGAGACGAGTGCTCTAACCGCAATGCTATGCAGATCTTGGTATAACATCTTTTAAAAATTTGCAATGCTACCTGGGAATAATAGACAATTTATAATATACAATGTTCACCATTTAAATGTTTGAACTTGTATAGTTCAGGCTGACACTCAAGTGCAGTACTGTGAGTGTCGTATGAGCCATTAAGCTGAGGTCCCATCTTTCTATTATTGTAGAATTTAAAGATCCTGTGACACTATTCGAAAAGAGAAGGGAGTTTTACCCAGTGCACTGGAAATAACATCAAAATAAAATTGGTCATTCACTTCATGACTGTTTGTGGGATACTGCTGTATGCAAATCGGCTGCAGCATTTGTCCACAAAATTACAGTCAGAACACTTTACAATATATCCTGTGAAGCTCTTTGAGATATCTTCTTGACATGAAAGGCATTATATCAAACGCAGAGTATATTATTATGATGCCACTGGGACCTATGCGATACTCTCCATTAACACAATATTAGACTTTCAATAACATTACTAAATACTGAAAGTGACTGCTAAACAATTCAGAACTGAATTATTGCTTTTTTAAAATAGATTTTGCCTTATCCAATATTAAATTATCCTGTCTGAATGCCTCACAATCTTGCAACATCTAAAGTGATCTACAAGGGGCATTATTCATCCAAGTTATCTCAACAATAAGGACACAGAATAAGAACTCAGTGTTTATGCCTTTGAGAAACCCTGGACAGTCCCCTATTTACTTTGTTGGTGCAGCCAGGGACTTATTGTTCAATTCTAAAGTTTGGACAGGTCTATGCCTAGCTCCCATCTTATTCTGAGTCATTTTCTCCAGTGATAAGACCACATCAGGAAACACAGCTGGAGGGAGGAAGGAAATGGTGTCCGGACCAAATGTGTAAAAAAAATCCAAAGGCCTCAGGAAGTTCAGTTTGATAGGAACTGATGGAAGTTGTACTTTGTTTTTTTGTTTGCTTGTTGCTCCCACATTCAAACAGAACCAGAAAACACAAAGTTGGCAAACAGCACCCAGCCTGGAGCTCGTAGCCCCTCGGGGGGAGGTGGGGAAATCATTGTCATTTCAACTCAATATTCCCAAACATTGCATCAGCTTTCTGAGAAAATCGCAGGTGCTTCCATTTTTAATGCAATGGGAGCGATAACAATTGTTGCACTTCTTAAACAGCACAGATCCTGCATCCTATTCATCTTCAATAAAAATAGGCCGGTCTTAGATCACATTGAGAGTACTTTTGGCAAGTAGGAATATGATTTTTGCTGTGGGAAAAACTGGAAGGAAAAAATATCCATAGGTTGATCAACAGGCTATGCAGTCAAAGGTATTGGGTAATTTTGACATTGGAACTTGTACTAATATCAACAACTTATATTTATATACCTAATGTAGGGCAGAGTCGCAGAACGCTGAACAGTGGTGGAGCACAACGCCATGGGCATGGTTGAAGAGGAAGTTCTTCAGGCACGACCTAAAGACAGAGAAGGAAAGGGCATGGCGGAGCGATAGAGGAAGAGTGTTCCAGAGTTTCAGAGTGTCGGGGCTGAAAGCGCGGCCGCCGATGGTGGAAAGGAGGACACGAGGGGCATGCAGGAGGCCGTAGACAATCAAGTGGAGGCAGCGGTTTGGGAGCTAAGCAGGTCAGAGGTAGGGAGGTGCCAGGGCATGAAGGGATTTCAAAACGAGTGTGAGGATCTTCAAATCGATCCATTCAGCAAAAGGAAGCCAGTGGAGCCTAGCTAGTACTAATATAATTATTACAGGTTTAGCTGAATAGCCATATACAGAGCAACAGTAACCAGTTTAGTAATTGTTAGGGTCTGCTCAATGGCAATACTAATTCGCAGTCCTGCTTAATGGGAAACCTAACAAAGAATCAGTCATTCAAATAGGCACTCCTTCAGCTATTTTACAACAACCTCTGGTGACTCCACTCCAATCTACTTCCAGAACCAATTCCCATGGGGCAATGAAAATTCCTTGATATTCAATATCATTAATTACAAATTCCCTAAGAAATAACACAAATCATTTCCACAGTTACGTTTGTTTACATTCTGTAATAAATTAGATACTGAAGGATCTTGTATTCGTTTTCTAAACTTGTATTCCTGTCCCTGTTGTCATTTGGAAGTACATGTCTTCCTTGGTAACAGAAAAGTGGCCGACTATGACCAGGAAAATTCTATAAAATATGATTAATTCTGTCTCCTTTCAACTTTAATATGAATTGAAAGCACGGAGAATGATTTAATCTTCTGCATATATAAAGCATTGTTATTTATTTCAGAATCATATATTAGCCATGCAATCAATACAAATAATATTCAGGTATTTAGTCATTCTCCATGTTGAACACTTTTTTAAAAAAAGATTGGATGTTGAATAACAAAACTAAAGTCTGTAGCAGCTCTATGACCAATGCAATTATCCTCATGAAGAAGAAGTTGAAACTAGCAGCTAAGAAGTAGCTTGGTGAAAAGCAGATCCGATTGCAATGTTATTCCACTAGAGAATTTCAAGTGAAGATGATAAAACTGTTGTAAAAGAATATTTATAAAATTCTATTTTGCTTAAAACAGGATTTAATGGAAATAACACATTTGAAGGTGTTTCTGTGACAGGCAGTTTGGTGTACTATAACCAATTCCAGCAACCAACAGAAGAAGAAACAAAATCTATACAAAATTGTACTGTGGTTGTGACATTGCATATGTGGATATACAGGTGTCTTGTAGAAATGATGTATGTAACCTGATCCACATCTAACGACTGATCCTTGAGAATGCATAATGCTGAGAGATAATGTGATCACATTTTTAAAAAGTGGAAAACACTTTGTTGAGATTGCTGGAATTCACAGCAATGTTTACCATTAATGCCCACAAAACACAAATGCAGGAACAATTCTGAATTTACTGCCTGAGTCAAGGGTAGCCCTGTTGGGACAGAATCAGGCATTCTCTCCAACTGGATGAACTAATACAGATGTCATAGACAAATTTCACTGAATATTGCCAACAACATGCCTCAGCTATAGGTGCATCCACTTGCAACTAATGAACCAGTTTCTGTTTAGCACGTAGTGCCTTTGTGCTATAACTTAAAACCGTTGAGTTTATGTACCACAAGCACACAATTGACAAGAATTCTAAAACCACCCCATACATACTTACCAGACAGATTCTATCCTATTGAGATTAGTAGAAGGTGCATAGTTAAGCAGGGATGTATGCACAACCACATTTTGAGGGCCATTTATTGTGGACATTTTGGTTTCCACCCAACCTCTTACCATTGCCGGATGAACCAAAGGAGTACAATACATCTGCTTTCATACGCTACGTCTGGTTTTATATGAATGTACTTTTACCTAAAAGAATTCCTACAAGGCAGACTTATGTCAGAGTTGGGCAATGGGATTGTTTCAATATGTCTGTTATGTTTACCAACTGTGTGTCTCGATGGAGGCAGTACAGCTGATTCAGAACATCACTATAAACCAAAATTCAGTGTTAAAATATAACAATGCAGGACTGATCCTATCTGACTGGTATGCAAATTAATATGACTTACTTATTGTACTGGATGGTCTTATTAGATACCTTTAATTACCTGGTGTTTTATCAACAAAAGATAACCAGAAAAAGACAATATAACAATGCACAAATAAATAATAGCTTATACATTATGCATAATTAGTTGAAAGAAACTTACCAAAATGTTCTGCCTCAATTACCATTGTGAAAATGCATTTCAAACCCAAACAACCCTGTGAATGATGCTGCATTTGCATTGATTCAGTAAGTAAATATTTCAAAAAGTAGCAGATATTATTTGGGTGCTACCAAAAATTTAGAAGAAATTTATGCCTCTTCAAAATAAAGTTAACCATCAATTCCTTAGTTGGTTTTGAAAAATGTAAAGTTGCTTTACCTCCACCTGCTCTTTATCTTGGGATTCTCGGCCTCGTTTGGATCTTTTTCCAAAAATGCAGGCAAGATCAGTCTCACTGCGCGAAGAGAGGTCTTTCCCTGCAATACAAACAGTAGCATTTTGCAAAAGCTCAATTCAACACTGGTCAAACCACCATTACCATTCCCCTGACCCCTCCCATGCTACCTCCCTCCACCATTCTCAGGCCTACACACAACCTCTGGCTACATCTGCCCTACCCCCACACCAATCCCCGACCCTCACTCACCAACAATTGCCAGCCGTACAATAGTCAAGATAGGTTTCATGCCTGTATTATTAGGACTTAAGACTGTCTTGTTTACACTTGTTGACCATAACACTATACAGTGTACAGTACAATCGTATTAATGAGAATCAAATAAAAGGAATTTCTTATACATATACAAAGCCAGGTTATCAATACTTCTTAGCAAGATATTAATACTTCTTAATGGAAATGCGCAAAACTTGTCATGGATAAAATGCAGTAGTGTAGATCATTTTAGAATATAAATCTACCATCTTTGCATTTACAACTATGCATAGATTTCCCGTGCAACAAACCTCTCAGAAAGTGATGTGCTGAATATTTCTGCCACAATTAGAAAAATATAAAAAAATTCAAAAATATTCTGTAAAGAAACAGTAATGCAGCCAGTCAGTCATTTGCCTCTTTATTTGCCTACTGTGAAAATTTCCCAGCTGCCTTTTAACTAATATAGGTAAATGGTCACTCTGTAGTCTGACAGTTCCTTCAAAGGAAACAAATCTTTTTTCCATTTGAAAACCATCCTGAAATAGGTGAGATGCAGCAGGCTTTACCTGAAGAGCGGCAAGTGACCAAGCAAGGTATGACTTCAATAGTTTGGATGCAGTCAAATCACCAAATCACAAGCTTGGAACCTTCGAAAGTTAATTTTTAAAAACAAAACTTCTCATATGCATCATAGCCTTGCAAATGGACGTCCACACACTTATTAATCATACCTACAAGTTTATAATTGTCTTCAGCATGTAGGGGGCAGGGAGAAGATGATTTTAAAATCGACCATCTATTTGTGCTTTGAAGATCCCAGATTCAAACAGGTGAAACTCCCTTCTCCTTTCACAGTGACATGGTATATTTCACATCCCCATGAACAGGCAGCAGGATTTCAGTTTAAATCTCATCAGAAGAATAGCACTTCCAATAATGCAACGTTCCACCAGCAATATATTGGGAGTGTCAACCTAGACTGGTCAACGTTCCAATGTGCGGCTTCAACCTACAACCTTCCGACTTAAGAGGCGAGAGTGCTAGTAACCGAGTATGCTATGTTGGCCTTGGGATCTATGTTGGATGGGCGGGGGTGAGAATAGGAGACAATGAAAAAATCTGACAGGAGTTTCATTACCCGATTACTGTTGTGAGCCGAAAATGGCAGTGTCAAAGTTGGGCAAGGATAGAAAAGCCTCGACTACAATGCATCTTCTTATTCTTCTCCCCCACCCACCCCAGTAAATGAATCTGCCAAGATACTGTCCAGCCTCATGAATTCTCAAACTATTGGAGAGCAACTGGCATGGAACGGTACCCCACCTGGAATCAGTCTCCAGGAGAGCTCATTTACTTCATGGTGTTTCTGGAGCCTTGCTGTGTACAAACTGCCCACCAAATACAGTCACTGCACTTGCCAGCAAATATCTGTGAAGCACTTTGAGACATTTTAATGCTGTACCCACAATATTCAAATAAAAGATTATTTATTACCATTATAAAATGGGTAATGGGGAGGGTGGGGGGAGAGTTACCTATCAAAATTATTAAATTTGTATTTGTTTAAATAAACCTGCCAGCTCTAAAATCTCTGAATCTCACATAGTGGTTAAAAGATTTTGAAGTTTGAACAGACTAAAAATCGCCCAGGGAATGTAATTTAAAAAAGTGTATCGTTAATCTGTGTCCGAGTGTGTGACTCAGCCAATTTTCCCATTTGAAAACCATAGGCTGTGTAAATAATTATTCTTCATATTTTGACTTGATCTTCATGTTGATGAATCAAGCAAATGGTACAAAAAACAAATTATATTATCCAACACACTGCAAATGCCCTCCAGCTACAAGGTAATTTCTCTAGTTTCAATTCTAACTGTTGAAGAGGATTCTTTGAGGGTGTCTAGAAAGCTAAGGAATCTCTCCTAAAAACAGATTTAAGGAATACTTTTGCTAATCAGATTCCCTTTTTTCATTCCAATTGGAAATGAACAATCGAATGTACTCTCAAAAGTAGTTTTCCAATGTCTCAAATAGCAGGAACAATTCAAAAGCTTCTTCCCAGAGTACATAAATTGATTCCCATTGTATCAAGTTGTATATTTATGTGATCCATTCTCTGCGGGTGTTCATAATTTCAATTCACCCATTTCCATCTGTAAGCTATAGCATCCTGTAATACACTTCTGGAGAACATTAATTGTTCAGGAAAAAAATATCCCTACTGCAGAAGCTTGTAGTTTGTTTCAGATTTCCTGGGAATTTAAATCTGTTTCTGGAGCCAAGACGAGACAAAATAACATCCACACAAGCACGTTCAAGTCAGAGTTTTGAATAGGGGACAAGTGAAATACTTCCCCCACAAGTATTTTACACCAACACAATATGGATTAATTGGCTAATACACTGAACAGAATATAACATTTATACACTTAACTCAGTTGTAACATGGTTAAGTATATTGCATTTCAGGTTTCTAATAGGGAAAAACAACTTTAAAAAACAGCAATTTGGCTAATTATTCTTTTAATTGTTTTAAAATAGGTTATATATTTCTTAAAACAAATATATCACAGGAAGATACCCTGTTTTAATTCCTCAGCATGGTTTTTCCTCCATAGTTCAGAATTATACTGTATTGAGATCCAATCGTGCTGAGTTAGTTGGACTAAAACAGAGAGGTTAAAAAGATAGCAGGGGGACTATGAAGAAAATAAAAAAAGAAAAACATTCACTTTACAAGCACAAGCAAGTTGAAGAAATTTCAAGTAGTTTATAACAGATAATCTGTACAGAATTTTATTCTGAATCCCATACAGCTCAAAAACCATCATCAATTCTGCTTTGAACTCAGATGAATATACAGCTTTATTTACTGGATTGGATTTATCCAATATCATATGCTGGTCATTTTTAAGTAATCCCCATGTTTTGCAGGGATTCAACCAACACTTAATTTTATATAACTGAGGTCAAACACCATTTTTCTGATCCATTTCTGATCAAGGCATATCAACAGGCATTTATATAGGGCCTTCACACAGGATAGTGTCTCAGGAGCGCTTAACAGTGGCTGGAGCATGACGGCGAGCTTGGAGGAGGTGACTGTGAGCACAGTCGAAGAGGAAGTGATCTGAAATTGGAGAAGGAAGGGCAAGGCAGAGGGATTGAGGTAAGGAGTTTCAAGATGTTGGCTTGCAGTGGCTGAAAGCATGGGCGCCGAATCTGAAGCAAAGGGGACAAGGGACAAGCAGGATGCCGGAGCCAGCCAAGCAGAGGGGGTGGAGTGGAGCTGAGAGTAAGCAGGTCAGAGAGATCGGGAGGTGCCAGTGCGTGAAGGGATTTGTAGATGTGCTTCAGGATCTTGAGGTCGATCCATTCTGTGATTTTGAGCCGGAAAAATTTGGCAAGAACCAGTGTGATAAGGATAAGGAGTTTAGAGCGGGTAAGTGTAGGGACGGCGGAGTTTTTAAATTAGTTGGATTTTCTGAATAGGCGAGCTGGCGAGAAGGACTTTGGAATAGTCAAGGCAGGAGGTGACGAAGGCTGGTTGAGTGTGAGGTACGTTCAAAGGTGGGCAATGTGATGGAAATGGAGGAAAGCGGTCCTGGTCAAGGACCAGATGTGGGTTAGGAAGGACAGTTGAGGATTGAACTTGACGACTAGGTTTCACACAGGTTTGCTAAGAGTTAGGGATAGGCTGGGGAGGTTGAGGAAGTCAGAGCTGCAGATAAGATCGCTGAGTGGGTGCATGTAAATAAGGAAAAGAAGGGGGCCAAGGATGAAGCCTTCAGCTATGCCATAGGTGACTGGACAGGGCTGAAGAAAAAAAAAATTTGTGGAGATGAAATGTTGGCATTTGGTTAAGCTTTGAAATCTATCCTGACCTTAGCATCATTTAAAGACCTTACAAAAATTATGACCAGAGCATTAAGTGTATGAAACTGAAAATTATGACCAGAGCATTAAGTGTCTGAACATTAAAAGCTACTCAACATGATCGACCTGGGAATTATAACGAGTTTCTGGCACATGTCTTAACACCCTAGCCTCCTAACAGCAGAGGAAATGGACTGGAAAAGAGCAACCCCAATCAGGGCAGCCAGCCACAGGCAAGTTAAAATATTTTAAAACTGATTACCCCTTTGAATTAAAAACAAATGTAAGATAACCCACGTCGTAAGTAAGTAGTTGGAAGCTGTACAATAAAGTCATTACAAAATCTTATCTGAGTATTTATTGAACTTTGAAATCCCAGAGGATCCTTTCAAGTAAAGCTGTTTTAACTCTACAATTCACATTGAACTGTGAGAAATTAGTGATCTGCACTGGTAGCAGAGCTGATGTGACAGATTATGTATATGAAGAGAACCTCAAGATATTTCTAATAAGTACTTTTTTTGTCGTTTTACAAATATTTCCTACATCAAATGCAACAATTAGGAATGACCCCTCCAAAAATTGCACTGCTGCATCTCAATCTCCTCATTTAGGTTATAAACTTTAACATAAAGGTGCATGTAAAATACACAATACCTTTTTATACATGAAAGTTTAAACATCTTCTTAGTAACTACACATTACTGCATATCAGATGCCCGTCAGACCTCACCTTTGGTAAACTTCTGGTAATGGACTCGTTTCGAGGAAGATTTAGATTTCTCTTCAAGGCTAAATGTACCTTTCTCCTTATCCACTGGTGTGCCTGTCAAAAACAAAAACCCATAATATTTAATCAGTGCAAGATTACCTGCCACTTGGAATCAACTAAAAACAAAATTGTCCTCATTCCTTAGAGTAATAGTCCAAGGAAGGCGCTCTATTTGCAAGCATTATCTTATAATTTGACTACAGTGGTCAGACATGACACAGTGTAATGTGTAAAGAATGCTGGTCACCATGCCCAGGCTCCATGTCCAGCTCCGTCAAAAGCTGTATCATTATATTTCCTTCCAAGATGGTAGTCTTTTTACCTAATGTTCATTTTCAATCTCTCAAACTCAAAATCTAGCACCCGATCAAACTTCAACCAGCGCAGAAGCATTGTGAAATTAATTGCACATTCTTCAGATGTTGAGGATTATATTCTAGGTACAGAACCAGAAATACACAATATATCCCAATCTTATCAGATTTTGAAACTAGGGAACAAGTGGAAGGTGATCAATTTCAAGTACATTGTAAGTTGTTTAATGTGTGATCGACATACAAAGATTGTATGTCAAAGGAGAGATAATCAAAGTGATTGGTTGATAACCTATCTGAAAAAATAAAGCAACTCCACTGTTATGTCTCTTGCTCAATTTGCCAATAAATACTTAAGTTATTACCTACAAAGCACCAAGATATTTCCAAAATATAAGGCTCTATTTCAAATGTAAGCCTTCCCAACTCTTCCCTTCACAAGCTGCATAATCCAGAACTCAGCTGCTCCTGTCCTCTCCGCACCAGGCTCTGTGGCCCTATCACACCCACCTGGCTCCATTGGCAATCCATTCCCCAGAGGATAGAGTTCAAAATCCCCGCTATCGCCTTCAAAGCCCTCCACAGCTTTGCTCCGCCCTACCTCCTACCAACTAACATATCAACCTATGTTGGTTAGAAGGGAAACTAAACGTCTTTGATTCAATTCTAAAAACACGTATGGACTATGAGAATGCAGACTATTTTATAATAATAATAATAAATAATAATACTCCCTGCATTTGATATAGTGCCTTATCATGTCTTCGAAATGTCTCAAAACGTTTCAAAGAAGATACCATAAAGTGAATTAACTGTCTGCTTTGTGGTGAAATGTGGCAGCTAATTACGCACAGTAGTGTCCGACAAACAGTCGTGGATTGAATGACCATACTATTATTTATTCACTTATTTATTGAAGGGATTATTACCCCCGACAAAGGAATCCGCCAATCGACTAACAACGAGATTCCTACTTACTGCTAGATAAACAGAAGCGTGTGGAGTAAGGAAACTTGCTAAATGTTACGCCTTGCCCAGGTATCGAACCCAGGTCCTCTCGCTTGTGAGACGAGTGCTCTAACCGCTAAACTACAGGACATTAGTTTGACTAAAGTTACAAAACTTTGGCAGTCAGGACTAAATTTATCTATGTATATGGTAACATTAACAGTTGCATGATAGATTTAGCTGAGTGGCAATAGAAAAACAATAATATTTAATTATATGTACATAAATGTTTGAATTTTCAGACGGAAGAGAGCCCTTACCTGCAGGGCAAGGTCTTTGGTACTACTTCAATGACTGTAGCATTATAAATCACTTTGTTGGGAGTAAATCTATGGCAGAGGTTTACCAACATAGTGACATGCAATAGTGCAGAAAGGGGAGATGAAAACTTTGTGTAGCTAAGACGTGGGATAATGAAAAATGAGAGGACACAATGCACAATATATGCCAAGAAAATTACACTTTAAATCTTATCACTGCTTTTCTCTCATTTCAAAGCATTTCATTATGCACTGTGAACTGCTGTACCATTTGGTCACGAGCGATGTTTACTTCGGTTGCCAGCACCTGAGTTATGACAATGGTGAAAGGAAATATAAATATCAAATAATACAAGCATATTGTCAGCCACTTCCTAAACTCAGCACTGGCCAAAGTGCACCTGCTGACATACCCTTCAAGGAGCGGTATCACCACAGTTGACCTGTAACTGGCTGTGAAACAAGTCTGCTGGAGATACTTCCACCTCTACTTTGTGCTTCATTTCCTCCCAAGACAGAATACATTCTCTAGGGAACGTTGGCCTAAATCAGTCTGATGGAAACCACAACGCTTCCCAGCATCACTTCAGAAACTCTGCGACAAGTGACAGCAACTCACTCATCACTTCTGTTTATAAAACAAGCATCTAAAATTTGGATGGAATACAGATGGCATAAATCCAAACCCAATTCCAAATGAGAGCCCCAACCATTTTTTGCTGTTTAATGGGGACAACCGAGGGCAGGAAGGTAACATTTAGTCTGCAAAATATTCTTTGTTAACATGGACAGGAAGCCATGAAGACTCCTCAAATCGATCAATCGTAGATGTACAGTATTATAGACCATTTGACTTTGGTTCTAATACCTTTATTGCAATGGGGCACTCAGGATTGAAAGCAGGACTTCAACAAGTGCCCGATTTAGCATTCAATGCCCCTGAATATAAAAAAAACTTTGTCTTTTTAAGCTCTTTCTGCCTATAATCTATATGTCTGCAAATCTGGATCTTCCAAGGATGGGTAATCCAAAAGTACAGAAATTTCACTTCAAAGTTGGAATCCTGTGGAGATTTGAGGGATGGAAATCTCCTCAGTCTATTTACTAAATGTCCTCAGTTTCTTTGTTACCAATAGGTAACGAGTCTACAGCATAAACTAACCACCTCCTCCAGAAGGTCGGAAGTGGAATTCAAATATAACACTGACACAAAAAGGTGTTGGTGTTTTGAGGTTGGGACAAATAAAAAATTGATGTTTTGTTGTGCAGAGTGTGGTGCTTTTGTCTGCATCTAATCGTGCTATATCTGAGCAGGGAATGACTGGTTCTGACATTTCTAACATCTCTCATCTGGCGGAATACAAAATTCACCAATAACCTGCGACAGGCAGAAAAAAGTTTACTTAGGAATATAATATTAAGGCTGCTTTTGAAACTGACATTTTCTAGGCTTCTGAACTAAAGCTTATTAATTGTTTTCAATGTCACAAAAATAATGGAATCATGCAATTGCATTGTAGAAAGTTCCAGTTTGCAGTCATTAATATAACCTGTATGAAGACATACAAATAATAAATGTCCATTCATATACAGTCCAGCATAAACAATTTTGCCTGAGTTTCAGGTGGACGTTAAAGATTCAATGACATTTTTAAAAAAGGGAATCTATCCTGGACAAGAATCCTTCAGTTGAATTGATCATTTATCTCATGACTCTTTTGGGGCATTGCTGACACAAATGGCTACAACATTTGCCTACAAAATCATTACACTTAAGAGTAATTTTTGTAAGGCACTTAAGAGACTTTTCCATGAAAATGGAAGTTCTTTCTTCTTCAAAAGAATAGGAACATTTTTGAATGCAGTTGGAACAGTTCCAAACATTCTGTGCACTGTGTGATCAGAAATCTGGCCTCACCATTGAGCAGTTATGTCTGGTGGCAGCTGGTATCCCGTTGTGTATTTGGACCAACAGCTCACATTCAGCAAATATTTGTACGTTTGAGCCAAGCTAGCTACTAATCCAGAAATGGGAAAGAACTTGCCTGAGCTCAGACAAAGTCAATCATATCACGGCTGCGTAACACCAATTCTCATCAAAGCAAAGTGGCTACACATTAGCTCACAACAGTCCTGGATAAAAGGTGTCCTGTAACACTGGCCAAAAAGTAAAAATCTTTTAGTAAAACAAAAACATCAGGCAACCAAGGAGACACCAAAGTCCATTCTCAGTCCAAATCAAATCCTGCTAACTTACCAGTGGTCTAAAGATAAGTAGAAAGCTCTCAACACTGAAAGCCCTCCAAATCTTGCTCCCATCACACCCACAACACTGGTGCATAAAGCTTGTCCAAATAGTTCCCCATCATGGTATATAAGCATATAGCAGAGGTATTTACTTCGGCCCAATCATGAAGCCTGGACCACGAAGTGAGGTGGATTTGTAGCAAACAGTGGAAACAGCTGCAGAGAGGGAGAGCTCCGACCATAATAATACTGTGCATAATAATATTCTTGAGTACCCTGGAGGTGGAGTTAACTTCACAATGAGCACATCTATTTGCCAAAGCCCCTCACATGAGGACCTGGATTAATCAGTTGGTGTAAGCCTGGTATGTGGCATTGAACCCCTATAACATCAAGGTGGCTAGCAAGTTACAAGCTGTACTGTAAAGGTCTTCCCACGACACTGAAGATAGACATACATCAAATAAAATAAATTCTGAAGTTTGGGACAACAGCTGCTGGAAAGCATGACCTGAAGTCCAGGTTCATGAACACATACAGTACTCATATATTCAGGCATGGATTCACCTTGATTCATATGCAAAGAGACAAAGGTACAATATACCCTTGTCTTAGTCATGTCACTCCATTTTTAAATTGACAATGAATTAAATTATAGACAAGATACTAACCCTAACCCAATCATCAAAAGTGCAGGGAAGGGCAAGCAATGCACAATACTATCCTTTCATGTCAAAGATAGACACAAATTAACTTGGATAATTGTGGTTCACCCTATACGTTGTTCACCGTTTAATACAGGAACATGTCTAAGTCCATTTTATTTTCACTTGTATGAATAAAACAAAGTAGATGTAAGATATGTCCAATTTAATGATAAACCAAAGGAAGAATAAAAATTCAAACTCACGTGGAACAGTCCCATTCAGCACCCATTTTACCATAAGTCGCATCTGCAAGACCCCATTGAATCTGGAAGTGCGACTTCTCAATCCTCCAGAATTGATCAAATCAGGCGCAACTTCTTAGGTAGTTAAAATAACTGAGTGCTTCACTTCTCAACAGTTTTTCCTGTTTATAAGTAGCACTTTGAAGGTTACAATGAAGCTACCTGTTTCAGCATTATCACTAGACTTATTCAATAATAAATTGGCTCCAATGTGTGCTGGTGGGGGGGAATCATATTTCAGCAAATATACACTCACGCTGTGCCAGAAAGTGATGCAATACGCACTCTTAATTCATTATCTCATATTGTTCCCACTACATCAGTATTTCACCTGATTGTTATACAGCATAAATTGCTCACGCTATACTTTAGAAAGGATTATTATTATTATTAGAAAGGGGAAGTTTGCTTTCTCCTAGTCACTGCCATTTCTCAAGTGATTCAATTTGTGCACCTCCCTTTCCTCTGTCTCAACTCTCACAACCCTTAATGTGCACCTCACCAGGCTTCTTATCAATCAGAATGTCTGCCACCATTTCAGCTACCTAAAATCTGCTCTGCTTTCCAGAGATACTGGGTTCAAGTAAGATTCAAGTGGACGTATAAGAAAACGTCATGCTCCCATTGCCCATAACTGCATTTCACTGTAGTAGTAGCAAAGCATATAATAATTGTGGGTCAGCTGTGCATGCACTTTCATTATTATGTTTCATTGAAAGTGACAAATAACAGGTTACTAGAATCACAACTTGATATGGAACTAGCAAATCCTCCGGGACCCAGTGTGGCGGAGGTTCATCCAATGCCACTTGATGTCAACTTCGGTTCTGACTTATTTGAAGTCAGACTGTGGTCAAAGGAGGCTCGTGAGGATAGAAGTGGAGTTCTAGTGGGACAGCATCAAGCAGATCCAAATACATTGCAGTCATATATTGGATGAACAAAGAAACTCTGTTAAAGGCAAAGAATAAATACAAGGTCCAAAACCTTAAGCAAAACATTACAATGAACATGAATAGCTTCATACATACACATTTGAACAAAAAGCACTTAATAAACCTTATGGTAAGAGGCATCACTGCAACTATAAAATACAGGATTAACTGACTTCAACCATTCAAATCCTGCACAAAGCTCTCTAGGGCAAACCTTTACAACATACTCCAATTTAGCATTGGCCAGATTATAGGTCAGATGGCCTGAGGGCTGGAAGTGCAGTAAACCAGCATCAGGTATAGTGCAGGTACACTGAACGAGGACATGTAATAATAGGATCGTGTAGGAGTGGGAAACTGACTAGCCAGCTCCCACCCTTAAAAACTGGCCACCTTCACTTACTGCGTGCATATACACTGTGTAAAGGAAGTATGACTGATGTCACTTTCCGAAGGAAACACGGTCAGCAGGACCTACACAGAGTGCATTTGACATAATCAATGCTTCCAACATCAAACACAATGAGCAACAGGTAACATCAGCAGCGACATGAAAACACAGAAGGGTGGGGGGGGGGGGTGAAGAGTTGCATTTCATTTTAACCAAGGAACTGAGTTCATGGACCCAGATCAATTCATTAAAACAAGGTTGCTCTGCATGGACAGACTCTAAAACTGTTAGGGCAATCACTGAAACTTAGACAACAGTACCCTCTAGTGATGGATATCTTAAGAGTTGCATCTACACCAGTCACAAAACGTGCATTCCTGTGCGACAGTTGTAAAGCATATAACTAAAACTGTAAAATGAGGAAACCACCTTAGGCTCCTCTGGATTTTCAACTCACCTAAACTCTAAAGCCTCCGGACAAGCAAAACATTACAATGAACATGAATAGCTTGATACATATACATAAACCTGAGCTGAACAAAAAACGCTCATTACACCTTATGTTCAGCAGCATCACTGCAACCACAAAATAAGACAGGATTAGCTGACCTCAAACCAAGCTTGCCAGGCAGTGCTCTCAATGGTAATACATGCAGATTTTAGTGGCTAAACTCCAGCAGTACTCCAACACACGTTCTATTGTCCGCAAGCCTTGGCACTTGCCCATTAATGCCTAGTATATTCTGTGAAGCGCTTTGAGATGTCAAGAAGATACGAAAAGCATTATATCAAATGCAAGATTATATTATTATTTACACTGCAAGTGAATTGTTTGACTCTGGTGCCATTGCAGTGGAGCCTGTTACTGCCCTTATCCGTCATCATGCCATCATCAGAATTGAAAAATTCAGAACAACAACAAGATTGCATTTATAGAGCGCCTTTCACGTCGGGAGGACGTCCCAAGGTGCTGGACAGTTGGGTCGGGACCCGAGCAGGGGGGAAATGGTCAGGGGGAGGGAAGGGAGGGAGCGAGGAGGGGGTAGAGAGTCGAGAGGGGAGCTGAAGGTACGGTTGAAGAGAAAGTTCTTGAGACCGTCCTTGAAGGAGGAAAGGGAGGAGGTGGCGAAGGCACTGGGGGATGGAGTTCCAGAGCCTCGGGGCTGAGAGGCTGAAGGCCCGACCACCGATGGTAGGGCGGTTGGGGCGGGGGATGTGGAGCAGACCGGAGCCAGAGGAACGGAGGGTACAAGCAGGTAAGTAGGGGGATAGTAGATCGGAGAGGTAGGAGGGAGCAAGGCCATGAATGGCCTTGTAGGTGAGGATGAGGATCTTGAATTCGATCCTCTGGGGGATGGGGAGCCAGTGGAGGCGAGCGAGGGTGGGAGTGATGTGGTCGCGAAGCCTGGTGCGGGACAGTACACGAGCTGCAGAGTTCTGAATGACCTGCAGCTTGTGGAGGGAGGTGCCGGGAAGGCCGACGAGGAGAGAGAAGGTTTAATGTACACCTCAGAAGCCACAGTTACTGAATATAGTTTCAAAGGAGCCAAAGCTTTGTCCTAGAGACCCAATAAACACAATAATAGATGCTGGTAAGTGAGATATTGATTTATCTCTTTACGTCATGAATGGAAAAGACAGCAGATTTTTTGAGAGTGGATCTTTCTCAGATTTAATAATAAATTGGTCATTTTCAATCCATGACTGTTTGTGGGACAAGTGCGCAATTGGCTGCCGCGTTTCGTCCACAAATATACAGTCAATTCACTTTACAGCATATTCTGTGAAGCGCTTTGAGACGTCTAGAAGACGTGAAAAGCGCTATATCAAATGCAAGGATTATTATTATTAATACTGGAATTAGACAAGCAGGATGAGTCTCGCTCGGTAGAGAGTGCGTATTCCATTCCAGACATGAACATTTTTATATGCAAGTGGCATACAAATCAAACTCAATCCGTTCTGAATACTTTTAAGCAGGGCAAAAATTTATGCAATATGTAAAATTTGCATTTGTAAAATTTAAATATCGGGTTAATTTTGCACAAGTTCACCAATGTACTTTAAAGATCCGAACATACATCGCAGTGCGTTACATTTTAAACAACTGAATAGATTCAGTGATTGGGTAAAGCAGGTTTCAAGCAACTGCAATAAGTGCATGAAAGAAAGCCTAGGGGTTGGCTGGAGAAATTACACTAAGATTTAAATACACAAGTTACTAATTTTCCAGATTATTGAATGTTCCAGTAACAGCTGAACACACTTACTCCGAATTGAAGCAGACTGGTATCAACAACATTCCATTCAATGTAAATACAACATACTTACCATTTTGTGCATGGCAACTATTTAGTTCAGACAAAAGCTGATTGAAGTCATCTTGATGCGCAATCCAGTTGTCCTAATTTCAAAACAACAAGAAGCATTTATAATAGTGCCATTCACACAAGGTAGCATCTCAGAGTGTAATTTAAAGTATGGCATTGATAGCCTTTTATACTAGTAATATACAGTAGTTAATGTTGATTCCAGCAAAACACAAGTGACTGATACTGCAATATAAATATAGCAAATGAAAGGATTCTATTAAAATAAGCTGTTTAATAAAATTATTGGCACATAATAGTTTTTTCTCCTCTCCAGTTGGATTACACTAGTTTCCCTTAAAGCAAAGCTAGAACTTTTATGAAAACAGAGACTGCAATTGAAAATGTCATCCAATTTAGTAATTTTATTATATCCTTTGGTTTATGATGAACAATTTTGAGCAGTTGTTTCAGCATGGCATAAAGAGTGAAGTTTTCACTCTCGAGTGCAAATCAGGACCACAAGTACATAGTTATCAAAAGAATATTTTAAATATAATATTCTTGATCAAGTTTACCAAAGTCATGACAAAACTGTTTTGGCTCAAAATAAATCAATTGAGATCAACCGTTTCATGCCCACTATTTTCCAGTCTTTACTATGTCACCATAGACAGCTACCAAAAGGAGTTTCCTCACAGGGAAGTCAGGAGAACACTAGACAAGGAGGTAGAAATTGGGTCCTGAACTAATTTAAGAAATAGCTTGATGCTGTTTTAAGAATTAGCTTGATGCTGTAACGGGAAGACAGGTAGAATGGATACACTAGAAATGTCTAGAAGGATGAGACCAAACAAGGCCTTCTTTACCATAACCTATGCTCGCTGAACTCCCTAGCTGCTTCCAATACAAGCTGATGACTTTGCAGCCCACGTACTCTTCAGCAATAGGCTGTTCCCATGACCCAGTGGATCAAGTTCAAGATCATCTGTAAATCCCTCTACGGTCTCACCCCACCTGTGACCTTATTCAACCCCACCGAACCTGGCCCCTCCCTTCACTCAGAGGGCACTTGCTTGCTTCATGTCCACTCCCCACACCAGCAGGTGAACTTCCAGGCATTCTGTCATGCTGTTTGGAACTTCAAAAGGGAATCTCTCGGACTCATTCCTTCGTTCCCCTTTTCAAGGCAATTAAAAAAAAACTCTTTGACTGCGCTTTCGGACATTTTCCCCTTTCCTAGGCCCCCTCAGCTCCCACCCCTAGTTTGGGTGCCCAGCCAGCACTATGGGTGCTTTGTAATGCCTTCCTGACATGAAAAGTACTACATAAAACCATCTCAAAGCGCTTTGAGACATCTCGAATATGTGATGAGGCGCTATATCAAATGCAAGGATTATTATTATTTATACATCTAAATTGTATTGTAACCTCTCTTGTGATCTGGTCTCTTTCATGCTCCTCCTAGTGAGGAGCAGCCATGGCAGAGGCCTAAGAAAAGCCTCAGTGCAAAGGGAGACCACAAATAAAAAGCAAAGATGTTTCAAAATCAGTGCCGCAATGCATCTCCTGATGCTGAGAACAACTTTTCCTGTGTATACAAGACAGTGAGCTTTTCTCAATGACCTTTTTCCATTATGTTCTCATACAAGTTGAACAATAACACTCGCAGGCACTATATGTCACTACATCAGTTATTGAATCATGTAATAAATCAGGATATTTTTCTACTTTTAAAAATGTAATATAGCAAAATTTTTAGAAGCTCATAGTGACTGCAGCCATTATGTTGTGTTTAGACAACACTTAAAAGCTGACAATTCACTGCAGTGCTGAGGGTGTGTTGCATTGTCGGAGATGCCGTACTTCAGATGAGATGTTAAACCAAGGTCCTATCTGCCTATTAAGGTGGACGTTAAAGATCCCATCACAGTATTCAAAGAGTCTCTCCCTCCCGGTGTTCTGGCCAATAATCTCCCAAATAAAATTGGTCACGCACTCCACTCCACTGTTTGTGGGACATAGCTGTGTGTAGCTGTCTGCTACGTTTTGCACACAAAACACACTATCAAAAAACACTTTATAGTGTATGCTGCAACACTCTTTGAGATGTCTGGACAACTTAATAAGGCGTTATATCTAAATGTTAAATTATTATTATTAACTTTGTCCATTCATGTCCCGGCACTAAACTCACCTCATGATTTACAGCTGCTCCCAGGCCCAACTTGTTGCTCTTCAACAGGACTTTAACGTGCTCTGTGGACCCCTGCTCTTGAGCTCCAAGACCCTATGAAAGAGACAATATGGCAGCTGCTTTTTATTCACTTACAAAAATATACACTCACTATAATCTGTAGTATATGCTGTGAAACGCTTTGAAACGTTTCGGCAATGTGAGAAGACGCTATACCAAACCCAAGAAATTCTATTACAATAAAATTATTAGTCGTCAACACATGAATTGATTAGTGGCATTTATTAGTATCATCTGTTAAGTATTCAGAACTCTGCAACTCCATTAAAATGAAGACAGATAGTTTCTCTAACAAACACCCTTCTAACACTACTTGTTTAGCCTCCTTGTGCAGCCCCAGCTGAGTCCAGCAAACTCAGCATGAACTGGATCTCAAATCAGTGAGCTTCTGGTCTGTAAGCTGCAGTGTTATCCACTACACCATCAGGGCTGCCCTGTGGGTCAGTTTCATCACACGACTGGGTGCAATAATTCTTTCAAGTTGAATTCCCACTATCGTTTAGAAAAACAAGATCAAATAATCCAATAAAATGCCTATCATAGAGTTGATTTACATGATGTTTAATCGTAATAGAATTTAAAACTGAATTATTAGTTAAAAAACTGAAATGTTCAACTCATGAATTAGCCTTTCATTCTGGGTTTCCATTGATCTTAAAGTACCAAACATAATATGCTGCAAACTTCCTGTGCATCATTTTAAATATATATTATATATGCTTGCAGTCACCTGCCCCTCCCCAGCGTCTTGCTCCGCCACTGTCAAGCGCTCTGGGATGCTAGCTTGTGTGTGAGGCGCTATATAAATGCAAGTTGTTGTTGTGGTTATTACATATTACTGAATAAAGTCAAACCTGTCTTCAACAACCTCTCAGGGGATGGGTCAAAGGGCCTTGATATAAAAATAGCCTCTGAGTAGGGGTTCACTGGTATGTGAAGCAGGCTGTCTAGACTGTTAACAGGGGATGGTTGCTGAATGGAGGTGGTTGTTTGAACAGGTTTGACTGTACACTGTATATATGTTCCTGGACATTAACACATATGCCAGCTACTCAGTTAACTGTACTTACTTTTCCTTTTGACCAACCCATTTTTTCCAACATTTTCTGCCCAAACTTCGATTCATCTTTGCTCCAATTGTTGTTCCTTGGATCCACTGACCACTTCTGCTTTCTACGAGCTGTAAAGAGAGCAAACTATATTGTAAATTCAACAAACCTCAACTGTTAAATCTCTTAATAATCCATATACTTAGCATATTAAAATCCCTCATTATTTTTGTCAATGATTTGGAATCTTAGCTGCTATGTTACATGCTACAGTAATGAAGTGTTTTTATTCCCATGTGCCCAGTGAGTGCAATCCCTGTATTAAATGCAAATACTGCTTAGCACAATTTTCTAACACTCTCCACTAAAAGAATAGTTTGCAGTTTTAAAGTAAATATCACCCGGGGAGCACACAGTAGAATGTCAGCATAAAGTACTTGCTGTGCATATCCACTTTGTTCATCTGTGACCAGAGTTCCCTCTGTCTCCTCATCCTACCGGACCTCTCTGCTGCTTTTGATACTGTTGATCACTCTATCCTCCTCCACTGCCTCTCCTCAACCCTCATGGTCCTGTCCTTGACTGATTAAGATTCTAACTTTCATACCATCTCCACTTTGCCTCCACAAATGGTCTCTCCTCCAGCCCCTGCACAGTCTCGCGCAGCATTCTTCAGGACTCTGTCCCTGGTCCTCTCCACTTCAACATGTACATACTCCCTCTTGGTGACATCATCCGCAGACATGGGGTCAACTTCCAACATATGCAGATGACACCCAACTCTATCTCTCTGCTGCCACTTTTGACTTCAGGACCACTGCTGTACTGACAGAATGTCTCTCCAATGTCCTTGGATGCACACTCCACCTCACTGAGCCAGTCTGGAACCCTGGTATCTTGTTTGACCCTCAACTGTCCTTTCTACCCCACATCCGTGTCATGACCCATTCTGACTTCCCCATTCCCGCAACATCACCCGGCTCCACCACTGCCTCTCCCTTCAGGCCGAGGAAACCCTCATCCACGCATTTATTACATCGAGGCTTGACTGCGCCAACTCCCTGCTTGTCAGCCTTCCCAACTCTGCCCCCCACAAGCTGCAGATCATCCAGAACTCTGCAGCTCATGTCCTCTCCTGCTCCAGGCTCCGTAACCCTATCACCCCCATCCTCGACCGGTTCCCTATCCCCCAGACAATAGAGTTCAAAATCCTCAACCTCACCTTCAAAGCCCTCCAAGGCCTTGCTCCTTCCTACGTGACCTGATAACACAATATCAACCTGTCTGCTCCCTTTGCCCTACCTTTGGTGGTCGGGCCTTCAGCCTCTCGGCCCAGACCCTTTGAAATTCCATCCCAGTGCCTTCACCTTGCTCCTCTCTTGCCTCCTTCAAGGCATGTCTCAAGACCCTCCTCTTCGAGCATGTCTTCAGCCACCCTCCTACCCCTACCCTCCATGCCCTTCATTCTTCTGATCCCAACCCCCTGCTCAGATCCAAATCCCTGACTGTCCAGCACCTTGGGACGTCCTCCCAATGTGAAAGGCACCATACAAATGCAATTTGATGTTGATCTTGTTGCAAAACAAAATCTTGCATAAAATAGTTTTTTTGATCAAGGTCCCAAAGGGTGTTTTTTTCCCAAGGGTTTGGAACAATGCCCAAGTAAAGGAAAAAGGTGAGCCAACAGTAGAAACTTTAAGGCGACCTCACAACGTGAAAGAGACTTAAGAAATGTAAACCTCATTCATCTCCCTCAGTCTTTCTCTCTCTCACACACACAGTTGCTTTCTTCTATTCTTGTTCAGTCTCTCTCACTACGTGTCTCACAGTCACTCAATGTCTTTTTCCCATTCACTTTAGGTGTGCGTGTGAGTCTTCCTCTCTCTACGTCATTTAGTGTGCACAAGTGTTTCTCTCCCTCAGTCACAATATGCACGTGGTTGCGTCTTTCAGTCTCCCTCAATCGCTCTCTCACAGTCTCTCTCTCCTCTCTCACTCTAGGTTTCTCTCTATCTCACTCTCTGTCTGTCTCTCTGTCGGTTTCTCTCTCACTCGCTCAGTCAGTTATTCTCACTGTTTCTCTCTATCTCACTCTATCTGTCAGTTACTCTCTCTCTGTCTCTCTCTCTGTTTCTCTCTCTCTCTGTGCTTCTCACTGATTCTGTCTCTCTCTGTGCCTCTCGCTGATTCTGTCTCTCTCTCTGTGCCTCTCACTGTTTCTGTCTCTCTCTGTGCCTCTCGCTGTTTCTGTCTCTCTCTCTCTGTGCCTCTTAGTTTGTCTCTCTCTCTCTGTGCCTCTCACTGTCTCTCTCTCTCTCTGTCTCTCTCTCAGTGCCTCACTGTCTCTCTCTCTCTCAGTGCCTCTGTGTCTCAGTGCCTCTCTGTGTCTGTCTCTCTCAGTGCCTCTCTCACTGTCTCTGTGTCTCTCGGTGCCTCTCTGTGCCTCTGTCTCTCTCAATGCCTCTCTCACTGTCTCTGTGTCTCTCAGTGTCTCTCTCTCTCTCTCAGTGCCTCACTGTCTCTCTCTCTCAGTGCCTCTGTGTCTCAGTGCCTCTGTCTCTGTCTCTCTCAGTGCCTCTCTCACTGTCTCTGTGTCTCTCAGTGCCTCTCTCACTGTCTCCGTCTCTCTCAGTGTCTCTCTCACCGTCTGTGTCTCTCTCACTGTCTCCGTCTCTCTCAGTGTCTCTCTCACTGTCTCTGTGTCTCTCAGTGTCTCTCTCACTGTCTCTGTGTCTCTCAGTGTCTCTCTCACTGTCTGTGTCTCTCAGTGCCTCTCTCACTGTCTCTGTGTCTCTCAGTGTCTCTCTCACTGTCTCTGTGTCTCTCAGTGTCTCTCTCACTGTCTCTGTGTCTCTCAGTGTCTCTCTCACTGTCTCTGTGTCTCTCAGTGTCTCTCTCACTGTCTGTGTCTCTCAGTGCCTCTCTCACTGTCTCTGTGTCTCTCAGTGCCTCTCTCACTGTCTGTGTCTCTCAGTGCCTCTCTCACTGTCTCTGTGTTTCTCAGTGTCTCTCTCACTGTCTGTGTCTCTCAGTGTCTCTCTCACTGTCTCTCTCAGACTCACGTTCTGCCAACATCGCCATTTTGGGTCCTGACAATCGTCACTGTACAGAAAACGTGGGCGACCAGATACCAATTCCCGGCGCTCTCCGGTCGCATTAACATTTACAGGCCGCGCGGGTCTGGGTTGTGACAAACCGCCACGTCTTCCTACATCTGAAACTGATATAGTTTCAGATGTGGAAAGAAAGGCCACGATATATTTTTTTCAACGAGCGCGGCGGCGCGTGCGCGTGCGCATGCTCTGTGCCAGGGAGGGCTCCGCGAGCCGGGCCCTGCGCGTGCGCAGGACAGCCCCGGAGGATTGTGGGTCCAGAGGGCATCCGGTGCGCGCGCGCGCGCGCCGAGTGCGTGGCGTCACGCTGCGGCTCGGGACAGCGGCGGTGACGTTGCAACCACGTGGAGGGTACCCGCTGTCAGCGCCGGAGGTGAGGCCCATCAGGAGGGCCTCGGTCTTGTTGACGCTCAGCGGCGGAGAGTTAACGGCTCTCGTCCAGGACTTGATGTCCGACAGACATCGTGTGGAGGCAGAGGGGGGGAGAGAGAGGTGGGGGGGAGAGACTGACCGGCCGATCGGCAATCACGGTCTGCAGCGCTGCGTCCTCCCAACCGCTGCCCTGGGAGGACGTTATAATAATAATAATAATAATAATCCTTGCATTTGATATAGCGCTTTTCACGTCGGGAGGACGTCCCAAAGCGCTTCACAGAACACACTGTAAAGTGAATTGACTGTATATTTGTGGGCGAACGCGGCAGCCAATTGCGCACAGCAATGTCCCACAAACAGTCGTGGATTGAAAATGACCAATTTATTATTGTTTTGGGTTTTGGAGGATTATTATTAGGCTCTGTGTGGAGTCATATCGATTTTACACGACAAGTATAAACTACATTCTGCACTATAGCAAACTCTTAATTCACTTCTCTTAGGTGTTCTTCTATTAAATCAAAATTATAAGCCTCAGATTCACTGTAAGATCCTGTTTGATGATAACCTTTGGTGCAGATCAGACTCAATACTGTGTATACAACTGACCAGTTTTATTGGAATGAATATAGTTTCCATATCACATAATGCTTGGATACTTGCTGATTGAGGTACTGTAGAACATACTGTGGTACATTTTTGCCATTATTCATAGAAATAAAATGCAATGAAGCTTGATTGTCTATTGAAGAAGCAATACACCAACAGCTCTATCCAATTTGAATGTTCTTGTGTTAGGACTTTTAAAAAAACAGTACATTGCCTTTAATTTGACCGGGGAGGGAGGGAGGGAGGGGGATGTTGGAAGTGGACTCGGGCACCATAAGATGACCGGCCGGGCCTCGCTCAAATAGGGAATCCGGCCCGCGGGCCGCCTGTTGGACGACACCGCTGTAGATAAAGTATGGCAGAACCGGGACCAGTCCCTCCGTGTAACTGCTTCCCATAGGTGAAGGTCAGCAGAACCCAGGAGGGTCTCTGTGGAGTGGGTTGAGACGTCCTCGACGTATATACTGTATTGCTTATGCCATGTGTTGGTTGGGAAACATTTCACGCGCGTGTAAAATGTGTACTTTATCGAATCTGTATCTTCAATAAATATATATATCTTTTAATTATTACGTGGAAACAGTTCATACAAGTCCCATTGATACAATGGTACATTCAAGAGCAGTTCTGCGTCTCACACCTACTGCGACTGGAACATTTAATCACCATATGGATGCACTCACGGATGCCCTCAAGTATTGTCTCAGATTCACACTGTTCCTATGTCCCATTGGCATTGTATTTGACACTTCACATCTATATTTTCAAGATTTGAAATATTAATATTAAACGTGATACCATGCCATTCACGCACAAAATACACAGTCACACCACTTTATGATCCGTGAAGTGCTTTGAGATGTTTCAATCATGATTTATTTTAATAATATTAAATATTATTAAATATTTTTTTATTTAACTATGTTATTATTGAAATAATTACTATATCAAATGCAAGGATTATTATTATAATAACATGATAAGGCACTATATCAAAAGCAAGGATCATTATTATATATCATAACATCTAATTGTTTTCAAATAACCCTAATGTTTTTGCTTTATTACTCAGATTATTCTAAATATTAATCACTGAGTGAATACATTTGCCAGATATGTACTTTTAATTCATTTTGATTTATGTCCCCTGGTCTTAATTTCTTGACTTTCTTTAAAGTAATAGGCTGGATTTAACTTTATTTAGCCATTTAATATATTATAAGATTTGATGATGTTTTCCCCATTCAGATTTGTTCTTGATTGTAAAGATTAATTTTCTTTAATCATTTTTCATAGTTCATTTCCTTATACTTTAATTGCATTGCAATGGGGTTAGGGTCATTATTTTACCTTATTGGCACAATACATTACGTACAAGTTGTTGACTTACTTAGTATCCAGTCTCGTCCTTCAGTTGAGATGATAAATTGAAGTCCCTCTACCTGTTCAGGTATACGTTAAAGACACTACTCAAAAAAAGAGAAGGGAGTTTCTCCCATTATCTTGATCAACAATCCCCTAAATTCACTTCATGGCTGCTTGTGGGACTTTACTGTGGGCAAATTGGCTACAAATACACTTTGCAGTAAATTCTGGCAAGTGCCTTGGCTTTCAAAGTAAATTCTCTACTGAATAGTGTATTAGCAACACATTGCCAATAGATGGAGACACAGACCTTTAATATGTTTCCCCGAAACATTGCAGGTATAAGCAAAAACCCAAATGCTTAAAATCAGAAATGGAAACATAAAATCGTGTGAATAAACAGCAGGTAAAACATCAAGTAAAAAGAAAAAATAGAGGGGTGAACTTTGCTGTATTAATTAAGAAACCCTAATTTGTGCAAACCCTGGATGGATAGATAAATAGTGGATCAGTATCTACAACCTGTGTTCATCTGGCATTTGCTTTTGTGTTTGCCACTTCGTACCACAGATGATCTGAGAATTGAATGTAAATGGGTGGGACATTGATTTTCCAAGTCAAGTAAGGATTAAGATGGGATTTAACAATGAAGGTAACTGCAGTCTGGATCATTCATCATGCAATGGTAAAAGCATGTAACTTCTAATTCAATACTCATATTGATTTACAACACAAACATCTTCCATTGCTGTCCATGGTTCTCTCACTGAGCACTGGGGGTTGGATCCATATATCACTGTGGTCTCTCCACCCTGCTGGTCTCCTTATTCAATTATTGTTGTAACACAGGGCATTGGTTTTCCCAATGGAAAGAAGAAGATCCTTCTGAAATTGCAAGGTAGGAACACCCATCTTGGGAGTGGATGCACAGCAGTTTCCTGCTAAGATTGAGTTAAAAGAATGTGACAGCTGAACAACATAGAAGTATAATAATAATCTTTGCATTTGATATAGCGCCTTATCATGTCTTCGAGATATCTCAAAGCGCTTCACAGAATATACTGTAAAATGAATTGACTATATTTTGTGGACGAAATGCAGCAGCCAATTGTACACAACGGTGTCCCACAAAACAGTCGTGGATTGAAGTGACCAATTTTTTTTTAAAAATTATTACCCCCGGAAAAGCCATCTGCTAATCGACTAACAACCGGGTTCATACTTACTGCTAGGTAAACAGAGGCATGAGGAATAAGGAAACTTGCCCAACATTTCTCTCTGCCAGGAATCAAACACAGGTCTCTCGCTTGCGAGGCGAGTGTTCTAACCACTGAGCCACAGGACTCCACCTGGGTGAAGATTAGTGCAGCTGAACTGTGACAGAAATGTCCCCAAATAGGATTGAGAGGAATGATAACTTGTTTTTTGTTGAATTTAGATGAGGAAGGTTTAATGGTCAGGTTATCGGGAGAACTGGTCTTCCTTGAAATAGTACCATGGGATCTTTAACATTCATCCACCCAATCTATTAGAATAAGTAGACAGGACCTGGGTTTAACATCTAAAAAACAGCACCAGCAATATACAGACTCTTTCGATAGTGAACTAAAATCCTAGTATGGAGCTACAAATGTTGCCCCACTTTTACTGCACTAAACATCTGTATTTCCACTTTTTATAGCGTGCAGTGTACACTCATCTCTGACCTTTATTTTGTATATACACATTATAAATACGGCACACATTATGAAACAGTTGGTAAAATATTTGTACAAAAACAGGAATGAATTTTGCAATGAAAGTAACAGGGCTGACACAAATGTTATTTCAGAGCAACACGAATAGTTTTGAACAGCCCAATGTCCTTTAAATGTACTCATCACCACTGTTTGGCACTGCTATGCAATGGGTTATACATTCTTGGACATCATTGTTATCGCAATCTCCTCAGTAAAATGATTCTGTAGCAACATTACACAGATATTCCATGCAAGAGCAAGATTCCAAACATGATTTACAAGTCCTCTCAAGTGTAAAGCCTTTTGTTACTGCAATTGCATTAAAACATTAAATGAATTGAGTACAGATCACAAGAGGTATGTCATTCCTGTCTTACTACTTGTATCAAATGCAGCACTGAAATTCTACGGTAAAACTCAAAGCAGATTGTTCACAAGATCACACAAATCGGTTTTGATTAACAAGTCACTTCGACCCATTTGATCTTGAGAAGTATCTACTACTGTCCTCCCATCATTGTAACAAGCTATTTTTAAATAAGTTCAGCGTTCTGGCTTGAAATCTTTTGCCACAAAATACACAGTCACTACACTACACAGTATATCCTTTTGAGACATCTTGATGACTTGATAGGCGCTATATCAAATACAAGGATTATTAGTATTATAACCACCCTTCCTGATAACCTGTTCCAGTTGTTCATTACCCTCTGAGGAAAGAAATACTTAATCAACAGCAGGTTGGCAATCTAGTAAATACACAACACATCCTCCTTTCAATGAGAAGGCGATGAAATTGAATAATTTAATTTAAGATAAAATTGTCTTTGTAGCTAACATTTTTACATTTTTAGTTAAGATAATTGATTATTATTTCAATTTGGAAATTTGTTCTAAAGTTGCGGGAAAGTTTCTGAAATGATTTTTTATTAAAGTTATCCTTTTCATTTCCCCCTATGTTGACATCTTGATCTAAGTCTTGTTTAAGAGTGAATGAGGTCTTTCCTTATGATCAACAGAAGAAAGTCAGAGTGCAAGATTGTGCACCTTTTATGTTGCAATACTTATCTTGCACTGCAAATATTGACTCCTTAGTGGCGACATTCTTCA